CCTATATGTTAAGAACACGTACCAAACAAATATGCTCTTTAATATTCACTAGATTCTGGATTTTGGGTTAGAAAGGGTAATATAAATCATAATTAGATCGTATACAATCTCTAAAAGTTGGAAATTATTAAAAGTGTTTAACGATTATAAATACAGCTAGAATATTCCCCCCAAGCAAAACTAAGTGTGTGATAAGGAATGACCCTCACTTACCATTTGAAAAGTTGTCGAAGAGAAACGAAATTTCTAAAGTTTATGGATGAGATTTTTTTCCTTAAAGAACGAAATAAATAAAGTAAAAATGCCGCCAGAGAGTTCTAACTTCTATCTATGAAACGAAACTGAAAGTCTCAATAACCAGAGACTTGAACTTATCGCGGTACCGAAAGTGATACATCAATTTTTTTGCTCCATTTATATAGAGGAGTATCTATCTAATCTAAAGAGATGATGGAGAAGAAAAAGAGTTATTAGGTGAGCATTAATTACCTATTGATCCGGAGGAGGCGTTGGTCGTTAGATCCATCGTCGTATCATTTATTATCTCATCGTGTCTGTTTGTTGTGCTTTGTGCTTAGGAGAGTGGTCTAGAATTCTTGCTTTTTTTTTGTTAGTAGAAGTCTTCTGAAATTGATTTTTTAGTCTTTAATAAATTAAGAGATGAAAATCCGTGTAATATTTTACCAAAATTCACCGTCTAATGGATAGCTTTTCTTTGTATTGTTCACGCCGACATTTTAACACGTACTGATTTTGTTAAAAAATACTAAGCTAAACAAGCTATTTTCTTGGTTTTCTCAAAAACATAAACTAACAAATTTAGAGATAAGAATGACACGAGTTTTAAATTTTCGTTAAGTACAATCGATTAAACTAAAGAAAGCGAAAACAAAAGCAAACAATTAACTATTGATTAGTAACGAAATATTTTGTTAGAAACTATAACACGATTAACAAGAAAGTTATGAATTATGGGTGTTTGGCGAAAATATGTGATTCGTTCGACAAGTTTACCAATAAACGCTGCACCAATGATGTTTAATAATCTTTATTAGAAAGCAATCGTTCACAATTACATGGATCAAAAACAATAAGAATAATTTTCAGATGCTCTATGCTATAATATCTCTCTATGTTACTGTCCATTTTCGGATTCTTGTCTCATGTTCTTTTCATCTTTATTTATAAGCAGCATGTCTAGGTATCCTAATATGCGTGAATTCACTCGAGAAAAATATTTTTTCTTTCTTGAAGGTATTTGCCGTATTGCTGTAGTAGGTAATTCTGGTCCATAATACAAGGAGAAAATTACGCAATATACCACTTATTCTAAAATTATTTGTCAAATCTACCACAATTTTTCAATCTTGTAAAATATACCACACTACCCTTATGAAATAACATTACCACCCTTCTTTTAAA